ATAGACATTTTCTCAAAAATTCAGTTCCAGGGAGCGTGGTGGGCTTTAATCCCAAGAAAATGGATACAGAATTGCACCATGAGTTACCTGTTCATTTTTGTAGACTAAAGCCAAATCAGTCATGGTCTAATTTCATTTTAAATCCATTCTTCTCACTCATTTATAGCATGCTCATTTAACAGTATCGTTATGGCACACCTCAGTCCTGGATTTCAGATTCAAGTGCTAGAAGTCTGTAATAATAACATCTATATATTTTAAACTCACACAAAAAGGCTCACAATGTTGTTTTGTGGGGCGAGTAGGAGAGGAAACCACAGAGGATATTCCACTGTACACATATGAATTTGTGTGGATTTCTAACAACTTTATACTTCAGTGCATTATTGATGTTTTAATCTAGGAAGCTTCAGGGAAATTCTCACTTTCTATTCAGCAGTCAGTTTTTAATGCAAAAAAGAAAAATGAAGGAAGGAGAGGAAAACTTACATATTATCTTGGGTTCATTTTATATAAAAGACAAAGAAAAAATAACAGCGCTCTACTTCTGCAAACCATGCCTCGCTCACTTCATTCCACCTATATGATTTCACATGGCCTTTCCTTTGCTTTCATCCAGTTTGATGAAAGGAACACAGTTTATGTTGCAAGAAGAGGTGGATGACGTGCCTCCATTGGGTAAAGATTGTGGAGTCTATAAGCAGTGAATTCACGTGAGCCTGGATGGCATCTATATGGAACATTAATTTAATTTCATTAGTCTACAGCTCCCAGAATCCCACAGCCAGCACAGCTGAATGCAGAGGGATTGGTTACTGCTGGGGTAAGTGACATAATATTACGTATTTCTATTTATTTTATTTTACTGCTAATTGTTCTATACTATTCTTTTGTTTGATTCTTCATCATTTTTGATCCATATGTTTTAAACATACCTCCTCTTGCACAGAAGCTGCCTCTTCCTGCCTTTGGATAAGTGCATAATTAAAGTTTGTTTTTAAAAAGCAAGAGAACTTAAATACTGATACTCTTAGTTATTTCCACTGCATTGCTGCCCCAAAATATATTATACACACATTTAAATTTTATTGAGTTCTTAATTTACTTGGCTTTTGTTTTGCAGTGAATCTTTTGTTTTGAAATTTCTCTGGAGACTGAGTGCTCCTTCCCCTCAAAAGTATTTCCTGTATTTCTAGGAGATACATTGGAATCAACCAAAGGATTCACCTTGGTACTTATAGGAAGTGTACGCCTGGGAACTTTCACAGGATAAAAAGTTTTGAAAGCTTCCTTTAAAGACAAGCTAACATTATTTCTGTTTTGCAGTGGTCACCTCATTTTCTATTTAACTTTAAGGTTTGGGATAACATTTAGATCTAAAGACAAATTAAATACAACCCTGTCTTAACAGTGCGATTCTATAGATGTTTAATCAGGAGTAAGCCACCCTGACTTCAGTGAGGCTAACTTCTAGGCAGTAATTGTGCATAGGACTGCAGGCTTAATATGGCTGTGAAAATCTTGAAAAATGTCTCATTTATCTGAAGGTTGACAGATCTGTCTCTCTCCCACTGATTCATGCCTTCCTTCCTTCTTCACATCCCTTCCACTGATTTGTCCTTTCCTTCATTCTTCTTTATAACTGAAGAATGTGTCTGTCTGTGTGTGTGTGTCTGTGTGTGTTTGTGCTCCACAAGCACACAGGCTGTTTTTCCAGGTCAAAGATAGTTTTTACTCTCCACCTTCCTGCTCTGTGGACAATAGTTTTATTCAAGAGCCTCCCTGCTGAATAGCAAGTGCAAGAGTCTGTGAAAAGATTCCATTTACTACTGCGTGACTCCCATACAGGGAGCAATTATTGGGAAAGGACTGCCCTGTCTTTAAAGTATTTAGATCAAGTCAAGTATCTTTCAAAGAAAGATGCTGAGTTACCACAAAAGACTTTTGCTAATTACAGGCCCTCCCTTCATTCCTTCTGACAGCCATTCCCAGGAGGGGGATCACTGGGGAATAACCTTACAATACCACATCCTGATTCTGCTGCTCAAGTCAAGGCTGTATAGGCAGAATTTTTTTTTAAAAAAAGCCAAAAGTCAATTCATCCTTAAGAGATTTCCTAAAGATAAGATTGAATAAGGCCATCGCTATTTCCATTTCAAGACTCCCTATGCACATTTGCTAACTAGGCCTAGGGGGATTTTTTAGAAACATCAGGGACAATTTTAGAAACATCACAGCCCAGTCTGCACACTTATTCTTATTCTTTACAAGACTCTGCGTGCAAACAGCTTCCTCCACAAAATAGGCTGTGGGGAAGGCCACCGCAAGTGTATCTTTCTCCAGTCTTGGAAAAACTCTAATATTTCTAAGACAGTATTTCGCTGATTGGTGGGCAGTATTCCCTCTCAAGAGAGAAGCGCAAGCACTTCAGGAGGACACAGATCTCAGCTAAATGTTTGGACATTACACTGAACCACAACTCAGCGTTGGGGGAACCAGAGAAAGCGAGCCTTGGGTTTATGCACCACTTCTCCTCCTGTCGTGCAGTTGTGAGAAGCAGATGAAATGTTTTAACTTACTACGTCCAAGCTGAGAGCTGTGGTTATCTTCAAGTACAGCTTAGGGAACACGCATGGATGGTAAATATAGTTTGGTTTCATACTTCAAACTAAGCAATCTGGGTGAGTCCAGGCCTTTGAAATCTAGGTAAAGGTAAAGGTTCCCCTTGACAATTTTTGTCCAGTCGTGTTCGCCTCTAGGGGGCGGTGCTCATCCCCGTTTCCAAGCCATAGAGCCAGCGTTTGTCCAAAGACAATCTTCCGTGGTCACATGGCCAGTGTGACTTAGACACGGAATGCTGTTACCTTCCCACCGAGGTGGTCCCTATTGATCTACTTGCATTTGCATCCTTTCGAACCGCTAGGTTGGCGGGAGCTGGGACAAGCGATGGGCGCTCACTCCGTCGCGTGGATTTGATCTTATGACTGCTGGTCTTCTGACCCTGCAGCACAGGCTTCTGCGGTTTAGCCCACAGCGCCACCACGTCCCTACCTTTGAAATCTACTGTAAGCCATATCTTGACTACCAAAATTCAGCAACAAACCAGAGACACCGCTTTAAAAAAAATAAAAAGATGCCCAAAGAGATTTTTCACAGCTTGTGTTTAAACTTCAGAGTCAAACTGAAAATCCTTTAAAAACATTTTTAAATGATTTTAAACTCCTGGTTTGCCCCTGCAACTGAGCAGCACAGTCTGCCACTAAATTTTAGTGGTGATGTTTGAGGAGAAGGGGCTGGGAGCCATATACGGTCCATGGGTCAAATGATGACCATTGCAACCTGAAATGCAGTAGAGACTCTGTAGAATTTGATAGATGAGCTGCTGTTCACTGAAACAGACACCGAACACCTTCAATTTTCTTGGAGTTGCACTGTAAAATTGGGTAGTGGTGGCTGCACAAGCTTATGTATAGAATGCTATGCGCTGCCCACTACGTTAATGTGAAGTGAACTAAAAGACACAATTTAGGTTTTTTAAACAGGAACCCATATGAACACCTGGGATGCTAAGAGACTCATTTTTTATAAAAGATGAAATGTGATACAGGACAAAGTATTGTTTTCATTCTAAAATCAAAGGCCTCTTGATATCCAAATGAGGACAGAAAAATGAAGAGGACACACCGACATTGCAGCACTAATGGCATTGCGGAAAAATGTTGGAACATCTATAGTGGACTGGGATACCAACTTTGCAATTAAAATGGAAATGTCATATTCTAACACGAATCTGCCTTGAATTTGAAGACAGGCTAATGTCAACAGAGGGAAAGCACACTGTCACATCAGACCTCCACCAGATATCCGTGAAGCCACAATTCAAATCAAATTATGTTTAAATAAAGTCCTGCTTCCTGTCCAGTGGCTTTTTGCACATAGCATCTCCCGAACACGAGATGGCCTGTTTCTCCCACTGTCACATCTAATCTTCCTCTAGGAAACCTGGAGAGATGTGTACAACACTCTTTGTTACATGCCAGTTGGAAAGATATTTTATATCAATGCAAACCTATGGGCTTCATTTTCCCCTGTGCATGATTACAAAAACATCAAAGAATATACAGCAGATGTACATATTTAATGACTTTGAAATCCAAAGAAAAGTGGCATAGTAGAAATAGTTTGATTTCAATAGTTCTAGGTAGAGATTCAGAGCAATCAAGGTTAATGAAGTGCCTGTTTTTATAAGAACAAATTACTAAAGGCACAAAGCAGAAGACACAGCTGTTGTACACTTCCCCTCCATTTCTACCAAAAATTACCAGCAGAAATTTTCATTTTTAAATGAAGGCAAATTTGGGATAAATGCATGGTTTATTCCCCTACTATCCAAATTAACTGAATTCTTTCTTTGGTGCCAAGGTATGTATTACAGATAGCCCATGTTTAGAAGAGGGAATGCCTTAACTGCTGAGAACATCATAGCAGAAATATATCCTATCTTCTCCAATTGCTTGTTTTGTTTCTGTCCATTCAGTGCTGATTTATATGCAAATATTATTTTTCAGTTATAATATCAGTGCAAACCTATGGGCTTCATTTTTACCTGAGCATGATTATCTATCTATCCATCTATCCATCTATCCATCCATCCATCCATCCACCCAATGCACTATTCATTACATTTTATTTACAAGAGTAAATAAAATGTAATGAATTATAAGTAAACAGTAAAAATTAAAACATTGAGACATGAATCATGTACTTCAAAAACCTGCTGCATCTCTGAACACATTAATGGATTTCTTCTTCTAATAATGGGCTATTTGTAACACAGAGTTTCATTTGCTGTAAGCCAGGTGTAAATTCATCCATATGAACCCTTGGTTTCCTTTAAGTTCTAAAACTAGTGCCTTTGTGTTGGCTTTGGAGCTTGTAAAGACCAAGGTTTCCAAGTGCTCTGCAGAGGGAGGGAGCGGGGGACTACAGTTTTCACTTACGCCTACTTTCATAAATAGCTCGTGATTTCTCATACAGCTCATATGGGTCAGGTTTTCTTGGGTCGAAGGCCTCTGTTGAATCAGGAAAAGAACTCCTGTGAAGGGTAGGTGGAAAGGGAATATTCTGTGGTATAGCTGGAGCAGATAAACTTGTCTGTGGACTCCCTTGATTCTCCCATCGTTCCATCATCTATAATAAACAATAGGAAGACAAGAAAACAACTTTTAGTTGGAAAACCTACAAGCAAGGTCTAGGTCTTCTTAAAATAAAACCAAGCAAACCAACAGATGTACAACAATGAGATGTTTTGCAGTACAGTTCTATTCAGTTTTACTCAATATTAAGTCACTATGAGTGTAACAGGACCTACTCCCAGTTAAGCCTTAGACATTTTATAAATAATAAATATTATTAATACACAAAACGTATTTTACAATTAAATGTTTTCTATGCTTTCAGCAGTCAAATGCCAGAACTCATGCCATTTCCTTAAGAAGTTTCAAAATGGGGTGGACTTGTAATTTGCTGGGGAACTGCTGAGCAATGTAGCTGAAAGAAAGTAGCATTTCTCATCCCTTAGCAGTCTTGAAAAGCAGCCTATTGAGATGTGAGGCTTTGGAACTTAATTTCCCAGGAAGTCTGAGCCTTATCCGTTTACCAGAATAGGTGTGGCAAATCTATTATGTAAAAGTCACAGTGGCATACCTGGGAAATAAAAACAGCAGAATCTAAAAGCATTTACACACACACACACAAAAGAAAAGCCGAATTTGTAGTTGTAAAAAGTTATTGTAACAAAGTATTGGGAAATCGGAAAAAGTAAAAGCTATATCTTTTATTATGTTTACTTTCTTTTGGGCTTGGGCTCTTCTTTAAAAAAAGTTGAGTCTGCACAGTGCAAGTGTTCTTTATTGTATTAATGGAGTACACCAAAGAGGCAGGGAATCCAGATTATACAATATCCACATTTAGTTGCCACTAGAAGCAGCAAATATAATGGCTGGCTGGATAGCTCAGCAGTTTAGGTAATGTGGCTACAGAGCCAAGAGATAGAGAGTTCAAGTCCCCACTGTGCCTCTGGTGAGTACAATCAGTCTGTATGGCCTTGGGCAAGCTGCAGAGTCCCAGGATGCCATCTGAAGGAAGGAAGGATAAACCACTTTTGTGTAGTAGCTACCTGGAAAAAGATTGCCATAAGTCATGAAAAATGCAACTGCTACTTTTATTTAGCAAAGGGTGTCACACTGAAAGTTATGATTCTAAGGTCAAAGGCATGAAATGTTGAAGATATAAATGCTACAAACAAATGGGCATAATGAAGACCCTATACTATTTTTAAATAGAAAGCCATTTTACACAGGACTAATTTTATGCGGAGAAGAGACAGGAAGGAGAGAATACAGTGGGGTCTTGACTTGAGAACTTAATCCGTATTGGAAGGCGGTTCTCAAGTCAAAACGTTCTCAGGTCAAATCTGCATTTCCCATAGGAATGCATTGAAAACCATTTGATCCGTATCTGCTCTTTTGCGTCCATAGAAACTAATGGGAAGCTGCTATTCTGCCTTCGACCACTAGAGGGGGATATTTTGTTTCTTTTTTTCTTAGGTCAAGAAAGGTTCAGGGAAGGCAGGGAAAATACAGTCCAGGCAGTACCAGGCAGTCTGAAGACTGTCTCCCAATCCACTCTCTAAACGCTGGGAGGAGTGAGGAAGCAGACAGGCACCCTTTTCACTGGCCAACAGTTAACTGAAAGTTCACATTTTGCACTTTCCCTGCCTCCCACGTGGTTTTTTTCAGTTCTTAACTCAAATCTAAGTATGTAAGTCAAGTCAATATTTTCCTATGAGAGTGGTTCTTAAGTCAAAATGTTCTTAACTCGAGCCGTTCTTAAGTCAAGACCCCACTGTAGTGAGAGAGCTTAACTCCTTCCCTGGCTGTCATATGCTCCCTACGGTTACCATAAGCATGCTCAGAGCACAAGTCTCACCTTCCTCTGCCTGCAAGTACATACTTTTTTGCCATATTTTCAGCCATTGATCAATATCAATATTATGCCCTATGTTTTGTGCCCACTTTATCATACATTCCTTAACCATTTCATCCTGCATTTTAAATTCCAACATATGTTATACATTTTCCTAACAATTTGTTCTTTGGAACCCAACAGCAGCTTATCAAAAGTCGTTTGCTCTGAATAGAAACCCTCTGTTTTGTCTTTTACATATCTAGATTAAGTACATACTTTTTTTAACAGCTTGAATGGAAAGATATGGTTTACTGTAAAATGTACAAAAATAGAAATAAAGTAAAATATGCAAATAAAAGCATATATTTAATCATTAACTGAATATAAGAAGTATATTTCACCATAAGCATTTTATGAAGCCATGTTTTACCACAAAATACATAGCAGGTGTATACATTGACAGCTGTTCTCCACTTCCAGTTTAATGCAGGATCCAACGGACTTGTGAATAAAACTATGCAAAACCGCAATGGAACAAAAATAGTTTGATTTGTCCATTCTTATTCCATAGATGGCCATAACAGGGACATATTCATCCATATGGGTTTCCACAAGAGAGCTCAAAGCAGTAAGAACTCCTGCAAATCTTTGAACAAAGACAGTGCTGGTAGGACACTGATACACACAGGATACATGTCTAATGGCCTGTATTGTAGCACATTCAACCGTGAGCAATGCTTTCAGTGTTGGACAGAAGCTAGAAATAACAGTCAGGGCCTACGTCACCTCCAAAGAGGTGAAGGCAGTCCAAGGCATATTCTGTTAGAGTCTATGCTTTCTTAAAGTCAAATGATGCTCTGTGCTCCAGAAGGTTTTAATATTTACTGTTATTGGCATTATCTCTGTGTAGTGCCCGTTTTCCATGTTCAAAACATTATTACACAACAACAACGTCAACAATGTGCCATTAAGTCAATTGTGATTTATGGTAACCTTTTCCAGGGTCTTCTAGGTAGAGAATACACAGAAGTGGTTTACCATTCCCTTCTTCTTGGGGCACCTTGGGACTGCACAGCTTACCCATGATTGCATAGGCTGGCTTTTCTCCCGAGAAGCACAGTGGGGAACTGAACTCTGCAGACAGATACTGAAACCACTAAGCTAAGCTCGTTACAGAAATAGTTTGACACTCAAGAAGTGCTGGGAAGTGTTTGTTTTGTCATCATACTACAAATGAAGGCATTGCCTTTGGCCTTTATTTCTCATTATATTGCTCAACTGATTAACCCTACTTCAGTTCTTACCCTCACTTCTGTGAGGCAAAATTAGCTAAAATGGGATAAAAAATGATTAAAAACCAGCAGGAATGGTTCCTTCCTTCTCAGTATAACATCAAGACAAACAACTCCAAGCATTTCCTGCAGTGTTGCTTGACCAAGGACACCTTCAGGATTCTCAACAGTCAAAGTCTGGTTCATGTTGTGCTTCTAAGTTCTTAACAGAGAAATGAGGCACTGACTTGAGTTGATGGCAACTCAAGCACAACATTAACACGGATCGGGTCAGAAACTATGTTAATAAAACCCTTTTGTAACCAGGCTAGGAAAGAGCTAAATATTCCAGCTCCTCTATTTCCTTGATTAAACCAAAGAAAATGGCTTAAACAAAATCATTGTTTAAGACGCTCCCGGACCACGCATCTAAATTGTTGCTATCTAGCTACAGTGGGGTCTCTGCTTAAGAACGTCCCTACTTAAGAACAATCCAACTTAAGAACAGCTCCATTTGCTAAATTTTGCTTCTACTTGAGAACAGAAATCCAAGATAAGAACAGGAAAAAAAAACTTTCCTGCTCTTTTTTTAACCTTAGGTCATCTTAGGTTAAAAAAAAGCTCCTCTATTTCCTTGATTAAACCAAAGAAAATGGCTTAAACAAAATCATTGTTTAAGACGCTCCTGGACCACGCATCTAAATTGTTGTTATCTAGCTACATAGGTCTGAAATACTTGTCTGCAGCTAGAGCTCAAGGCAATCAGGATCTCGTGTAATTTGCCTATCTGTGGCTAAACCTGCTGAGAAATGGTTTCTGACTTATCCTGAGCAGACTGAAGGATGCAAAGAAGACGGTTAGTGCATATTCAAATACTAAGCTAATTGCCTTCCTCAGAGGTTAGACCTATCCAGTGTCATTTTGTTTGTTTCATGAAGAAAGTAAAGTAGTTAATTATTGTTATAGTTGAGTTTTAGAAAGAAGCATTACTTTCTCTGGTTTTATAAAGTAATTATTGTGTTTTTAATGATGTAAGCTGCCTTGTGTCCTTTTTAAGGAGAAAGAGGGGGTAACAATATTTTAAATAAATAAATAAAATAAAATAGTTATCCTTTAATTAGTTTTAAAAATCTTACTGCTACAATGTTTAGGCCTGTGGTATCAATCTGTATTCCTTCCAACTCACCTTGTTGTGGCCTTTGTACCCATGGATTCAACGTATTAACTCTAGTTGAAAGAAACAGCAGCATCTATCTCTTGTCTAGCTATCCATGCTCTGATAACCTTCACTATATGCTAAGTATGACAGTGCCCTGTATGCGGAACTGGCTTAAAAACAATGGACTGAAGCTGGTCCAGAACAAGGCTGTAAGTTTTTTTTTAACTGAAGTTGGGAGGTTTTCCCACATTACACCTATCCTTTGTCAGCAGCACTGGGTTGAAGCACTCATACATCATCAAATACTAATAAGGTAACTGTTTTTCTCAGAGCTTAGACCTACTCAGTATAGTTCAGTTTGTTTCATGAAACACAAAAACCTCCACACCTTTCATGATTATTACCAAAACAAGTTGCTGTCCCCATCACTGGCCACATCTCCTCTATATGGAATGGTAGTGCAGCCCTTGAAGGGGCCTGGCCTAGAAAAATGGCCACCAGATCCCTGGGTCTTGTTAATTTTTGATCTACAGTATTTATGAACTGCTTAAGATCCAATAAATTCTGGGGTGCTGTCTAACCGTTTTTTAAAAGTCTATAAAAGGATACAAATATGTATTTTAAAACTCACATAATACTGTGGCTGGATTTTTTTTTCCAATTAGGGGAAGCTTTTTTGAATAAAGGGGTATTTCAGCAGCTGCATGAAAGAAACACTGGTGCCTCACTAAACCACCCAGCAAAGAATTCTACAGAGAGGGCCCTCCTACACGAAAACCTCAGGTTAAGAGCGGTCTCTGACTGTATCTCAAGCCCATATGGCATCACCAGGTGTGCCTCTTTCCAATGACCTCTGTGACCAGGCAGCTTAATGAAAGATAAGGTGTGCCTTCAAGGATATCCTAACAACATAACCCTAAACCTGGCCCAGTAGGCCACCTTCTTATGCAAATATACTAGAAACAAAGATGTACATTTTACTGATCAATCTTAGGCATTTAATTCCTATAAACCTCAAATTAAATATTGTGGGATTCAGCGTCTGGTACTTCTAGTGAGAACAGCATCATCATGAATAGATGCCAGGATCCTGCTGGCTTGTGTGGTTGTGGAAAAACTGTTGTACAAGCGGTGCTAGCTACTCTGGCAATTGTCCATGACATATCTGGCTGTGCTCTGGTTGTGTAACTGAGTACATGATAGACTGATGGCAAAATGCAAGGACATCTTCCACAGTCATCTTTATGCATGTGGTGATACCCGACAGGATTTTGGACAGTGTTGCAACCGAATTAAAATAAGCACGAACTGCTTTCAGTGAGAAAAAAACATAGAGCTAATTCTTTCCCAGTAAAATTGGTGAGATTGAAAAGCACTTTAATTCATGCCCACAAATCCTAACATAAGTAATTTCTCAAGAAAACTTACAGGCTTTGGAGTCTTCCATGGTGAAAAGAATCCTAAAACAGAGAAAGAAAAAAGAACATCAGTGCATCTGTCTTTTATTTTTATACCCCAGAATGGACAATAATACAATGTTTTTCTGGTTAGTGCAAATGTGCATATTATGTTAAGGTACAGAAGAGAGCATGCCCCTGGGAGAACATGACTACTGCTGAACAAAAGCTGAGTATTGCAGGTCACCATGACTTGCACTCAGTGAAGTCAGAAATACATCTGCTGTTATCTTTAGAAGCAGCAGTTCAAGCACACATCAGCTAAGACATGCTTGGCTGCTTGTTTGTTAGATTGTGACAATCAAGAACATTATTCTCTATATTTTTGTTGGTTGCCAAACTAGAGATGGGCCCTTTGTATTTGGGAGACGAGTACGAAGCTCGCCACCACAGGTGGCCATTCCGATTGGACCCTCCCCCCTGAACAGGGCATCCATTTACCGTTTGTGACATGGTGTATGAAGCCATCATCCTTCATGCCACACCAATCATGGAAATAGCCTGGGTGGGGCTTCTTTGCACTGCTGACCAATCCAGCAAGGGGGCAGGATGACAAGCCTCCCCCTCAGCTGCTGATTGGTCAGCAGCACAAGGAGGCGGGGAAGCCCCAGCCAGGCTACTTCTGTGACTGGCTCAGCATGAAGGACGACAGCCATGCGCACTGCACCACAAGTGGTATGTGGACGCCTGGTTCAGGGACAAGAGGGTCCAATCAGACTGGCCACTTGTGGGGGTGAACTTCATATTCGTCTCCCCCAGGAGCCAAATACAAAGCTCCCATCTCCGTTCCAGACAGCTGATTTCAACATACCCAACAGAATAATATTTAATCTGGCCCGCAACTTGGAAGACCTGCAGTAATTAATTACAAACAATGTCAAATGCTTATATTAAATGGTAACAGTATGTTTTCTGTCAGGCAATACTGCCTACAGAAATCAAACAAGCATGTCTTTTTTTCTACACAGCAAAAATCATGCAGTTGTTCCTTTAGTTAAATGTATTATTTTAAATAACGTCAATAAGAAAGCACCTATCAGGCCTATGACAATGATACTACAATATCATTAATTTCATTCAATCCTGAGAAAACACCACAGTATTTTATCTGTATTGCATACAAGTCATAAAACTAAATTTTAAAAGCTCTATTTTGCAACAGAATTAGATCACAGGGAAAAGCATGGCTTCATATACAATTTAAGAACATTTTTAAAACAAAAAGGTATATGAAAATCTGCATTTAAAAAAAGGAGAGAAATCATTTCCCCAACTATTGCATTCTAAGCTTCAAGGCATTTTGCATGGCTTTTCTTTCCAATGTATAAGAAACCCACCACCCCTGCAATTTGAATCCTAAATTTATTTTCTTTTCATAGAAGGAGCACTCATTTGTAGAAATACAATCGTGCTCATTTTCTTTAATCAGAAGTGATCCTTGTACGAGCAGAACTCTCTTCTCAAAAATGGAAGCTCCTTGTTTTTAACAGGGAAAAAACCTGGGATTCATACCTGCCATGGAAAATATAAGCTCTCCTGAAAGCTGACTGATAGGAGTCGGCGTAATTGCTCCATCTGTGAAGGGGCCTATAAGATGGTCCCATTCATAGCAGAGGATGCAGAAACCCCATGGGAGTGGACATTTTGCTGATAGAATGGGCTGAATTTCAGGACCTGCTAGATCTAGAGTCCCTCAGACTGGGCCATAAGACCTGTGGGTTAATTTCACTTCCACAGTTGAATGTGGTTGTTTGCTTTTAGGGGGAAAAAGATTTTCCTTACTTCCCTCACAGGATTGCCAGCAGGTTTTGAGAACTGGCAGATCTCCTGCTGTGTGCTTTCCATTCTCCTTTAAGATCACTCTGCTCATTGTTAGATGTATTCATGAATTTACATTTGTACTGGAATTAGATCAGGCTTGTCCAACCCGCGGCCCGTGGGCCACATGTGGCCCAGGTCAGCTCATAATGCGGCCCAGTGCAATTTTTTATTTTTATTGAAATTCCAAAGTTTCAATTTACACTGCCAGCGCTTGTAGCCGGAATGTGGCCGGGGCACGTCACAATGGTAGGGGGGGAGAGAGGGAAGGAAGGAAAGAGCAGGAGGGGAGGGGAGAGGGTGGCTGCGTGACTGCATTGTGCCATCACCATCAACAGGTGGACCCCCTCCTGGCCCCATAAAGCCCTGGCTCAGCATGAAGGACGACAGCCATGCGCACTGCACCACAAGTGGTATGTGGACGCCTGGTTCAGGGACAAGAGGGTCCAATCAGACTGGCCACTTGTGGGGGTGAACTTCATATTCGTCTCCCCCAGGAGCCAAATACAAAGCTCCCATCTCCGTTCCAGACAGCTGATTTCAACATACCCAACAGAATAATATTTAATCTGGCCCGCAACTTGGAAGACCTGCAGTAATTAATTACAAACAATGTCAAATGCTTATATTAAATGGTAACAGTATGTTTTCTGTCAGGCAATACTGCCTACAGAAATCAAACAAGCATGTCTTTTTTTCTACACAGCAAAAATCATGCAGTTGTTCCTTTAGTTAAATGTATTATTTTAAATAACGTCAATAAGAAAGCACCTATCAGGCCTATGACAATGATACTACAATATCATTAATTTCATTCAATCCTGAGAAAACACCACAGTATTTTATCTGTATTGCATACAAGTCATAAAACTAAATTTTAAAAGCTCTATTTTGCAACAGAATTAGATCACAGGGAAAAGCATGGCTTCATATACAATTTAAGAACATTTTTAAAACAAAAAGGTATATGAAAATCTGCATTTAAAAAAAGGAGAGAAATCATTTCCCCAACTATTGCATTCTAAGCTTCAAGGCATTTTGCATGGCTTTTCTTTCCAATGTATAAGAAACCCACCACCCCTGCAATTTGAATCCTAAATTTATTTTCTTTTCATAGAAGGAGCACTCATTTGTAGAAATACAATTGTGCTCATTTTCTTTAATCAGAAGTGATCCTTGTACGAGCAGAACTCTCTTCTCAAAAATGGAAGCTCCTTATTTTTAACAGGGAAAAAACCTGGGATTCATACCTGCCATGGAAAATATAAGCTCTCCTGAAAGCTGACTGATAGGAGTCGGCGTAATTGCTCCATCTGTGAAGGGGCCTATAAGATGGTCCCATTCATAACAGAGGAT